TTGAGGTTTCAAGCAGGTTTGCCTATTCGTTTTTGGGAAAGTGTGTCTTGACCGTCGGATACTTGATAAATAGGACACCTTCTTCCGTACTTGATGGGAAGACTCTGTATGAGGTATTGTTCGGGATGACACCTCGATACGAGCAAATAAGAGTGTTTGGCTGTCTCTGCTATGCCCATTGGAGCCCTTGAGATAAGGATAAGTTTGGAGCGAGGAATAGGAAGTGTGTTTTTGTAGGCTATCCCTACGGAAAGAAAGGTTGGCGTGTATATGATGTTGAGAGCGGTGAATACTTCGTCTCTCGCGATGTAGTCTTCCATGAAAATATATTTCCATATGCCGGTGATTTAGAAGTAACTCTTGAAGACAACCCTGGGCCGGAAATTGCGGCTATAGTTGATGACGATGTTGTTCACAGCCACAGAGGAAATAAAGACAGGGGGAGTGACAAAGAGGATATCTGTGCAAATGATAGGGAGAGCTTTCAAAATACCTATAGAAGAGAGGAGGAGCAAGGCAATGGAAGGGATGTGCAGGAAGTGGAAGCTAATGGCGGTGAGGGAAGAATTAGTGTGGATCTAGCACCACAAACAACACCATAAGAGCAACTTGGCAGGGGACATCGACATCGCACGCCGTCTATTTTGTTAAGCCCTATGTAACCTACACTGCTCGATGTCTGAAAGATCCCATTCACACTCAAGCCAACTCTGAATCAAAGTCCTCAGGTACGACTCTCTATCCCATAGAAAATTATGTGACATGTACTAACTTCTTTGCTAGACATCAAGCTTTCTTAGCTGCAGTCACTGCAGGAGCCGAGTCTACCAGTTTTTCTGAGGCAGTAAAAAGTGAGAAATGGAGAGAAGCTATGAGGAAGGAAATCCAGGCTCTGGAGGATAATGGTACATGGACATTGGAATCTCTACCTCCTGGGAAAAGGCCATAGGGAGTAAATGGGTCTATAAGATCAAATATAATTCAGATGGGACGATTAAACGGTATAAGGCACGCCTAGTTATCCTCGGGAATAGACAGGTTGAAGGATTAGATTACAATGAGACTTTTGCTCCTGTGGCCAAACTGACGACAGTCCGAACCTTCTTAGTCGTGGCGGCCGCTAGGAACTGGGAGTTGCATCAGATGGATGTACATAATGCTTTCTTACATGGGGATTTGAATGAGAAAGTATACATGCAGTTGACGCCAGGATTTACATCTAAGGATCGAACAAAAGTGTGCAAACTGAAGAAATCTCTCTATTGACTGCGTCAAGCTCCCAGATGTTGGTTCTTGAAGTTAACAACAGCCTTGATACAGTTTGAGTTTGTTCAATCGTATCCTGATTACTCTTTGTTCACCTATTGCAAACACAATGTTCGTTTGCACGTGCTGATATATGTTGATGACCCGATTATTGGGGGAAATGATACTGCTGCCATTGTAAAATTCAAAAAGTATCTCCATCGGTGCTTCCATATGAAAGACCTGGGCCCACTCAAATATTTTCTAGGGATTGAAGTAGCTCGTGGCCCTGAGGGAATATTTTTGTCGCAACGGAAGTATGCCCTAGACATCATCTCGAAATGTGGACTCTTGGGAGCCGAACCAACATCCGTGCCCATTGAAAAGAATCATCATCTTGCGCTGGCAAAAGGCGCTCTTATGGAAAATCCGAATCGGTATCGACGATTAGTGGGACTATTGATCTACTTGACCATTACACGACCTGAGTTGTGTTATTGTGTTCATATCCTAGCTCAGTTCATGCAAAGTCCACGACAAGAACATTGGGATGCAGCTCTGCGCGTAGTGCGTTATATGAAAGGATATCTTGGACAAGGTATATTGTTTCGTTCTGATAGCGATCTGTGTCTATATGCTTATTACGACTCTGATTGGGCAAGCTGCCCATTGACGCGATGGTCATTGACTGTCTATTTTGTTATGCTGGGGCAGTCACCGGTTTCTTGGAAAATGAAAAAACAACATATCGTGTCGTGCTCCTCTGTAGAAGTCGAATATCGTTTGATGGTTGCGACAAGCTGTGAGCTGAAGTGGATGAAGAAACTTCTTTTGTCCTTTGGGGTGGCGCATGATGAACCTGCGCGATGAATCCAGTGTTCCACGAGCTGACAAAGCATATTGAGGTCGATTGTCATTTGGTTCGCGATGAGCTACGGCGTGGGAACATTGTTACTTGCCATGTTCGAACCACATAGCAGTTGGCTGATATCCTGACGAAGGCTCTTGGAAAAGAGAAATTCTCATATTTCCTTGGCAAATTGGGCATTCGGAATCTGCATGCGCCAATTTGAGGGGGAGTATTGAGAAACCGAATCTCCACGTAACCTTCATACCAAATCTCCACGTAACCTTCATACCGAATCTCTACGCAACCTTCATTGGGAACCTTCTTGCATGCATGTGTAATTGGTATTCCTAGATGTATTTGGAAAATCGATTCCTACTGAAACTGAATCTCCTACTTGTATATATAGGATGTACCTTGCATAATAAAAAGACAACAATTTCCACAAAGTTTTTCATCCCTCAAACTGACACTTTATTTTTGCACAAGGATGATGCTAAGCTTCCAATGTTGTTTATAAACCATGGAATGCTGAGTCTACTAGTGTGTAGTGTGAATCTAGAATTTTAGATCCTAATTTTTTTCCTTTCTTATTGATATTCCAAGGTTCTCTCTTGCTTTTGTTTTGGCTCAACTAGGCCCAATTGATGATTTTTCCTCCTTGTAAGTGGGGTTGTAAAAATTGGATTTAAACCAAACCCAATTGCATTTGCATCTGCATCCGATGGTGAAACCTCTATATTTACATTTACATCCAATTATCAAGTTGGATTTTGGATCGAATGTGGATTTAATCCACGGTCACATTATGTGTTAAAATGATAAAAAATAAAAAAAAATTAAAAAAAGTTCTTTTGTAACTTATATATGCATATAAATATTGTTGGTCTGAATTTGAGCAACATATAAGAGAAGTGAAAGGGAATTGGAAACTAGACGAGTTGAGGAGATTGAAAGAACTGAGTTGCTTTTGAAGACATTTGCAAGAGAGAGAGAGAGAGAGAGAGAGAGAGAGCCCTAATGTATGTCTCTGGGGGATATATAGCTCTTTCATGCTAAAGAATTGTTTTGCTTTTTTATGGTGGATCAGCAATTCAACCTTTCAGGTTAAATGTGTTAACCTCTGAAGTAAAAATTACAAAAGATAACACAAAAAAATATATAAATTATGTAGAAAACATTTGGCATATCTCTAATATCTTATATTAATTAATCATATCGAAAAAAATGTGTAATAAAGAATACTTGTTTTAATTGATGATGAGAATAAAACACAAATTCAGAACTAACAAAAAAATGGAGTTGTTTTTCCATTTGGTGGTGAGTCAACAATTCAACCTTTTGGGTCAAATGTGTCAACCCTTAATGTCATTATTAAATAATAAGAAAAATTAAAAAATATGAAAACAAACAAAAGCATGAAAAATTAATACAAAAAATTATAAAAACATTTGGTACATCTCAAATATTATATATTCATCATATTAAACAATAATAAGCGTAGCAAATAAGAATATTTTTTATAAATATAGAAATATAAGAAAAATATAGAAAATTTTATAAACATATTATTTACTATCATCATGATCAGAAATTGCCTTGTGTAAAGCATGTGGATATATCGATCTAATTATTAATCAGATGCAAATTATAATCGTATTTAGAGTTGAATCATCGGACATTTTTAAGTCCATTAACAGCCCTACTTAGGTGGGCATCATCAACATCAACCCTTGGAGGTTTTCCTCACCAGAGAGAGAGAGAGAGGCAGGTTAGATCACCGAGGGTGAACCCACTGGTCGACTGACCCAGGTCAACTTAATGGGGTTGGATGACTAAGCAAAAATTAAGTTAAGATCCCTACTCCCTGTTCTATTCAATCTTTATATATGTCTATGACAGTGTGTAAAGGGATGTCAATGAGACGGGTTTGATATGGGCTTAGCTCATCCTGAACCCGACCCGAAGCAACAACTTTGATCCTCACTCAACATGTAGGTAAAAGTGCCACAGGAATGCTTTACACTTTGCCCTTTTGTGCAGCTTCCTAGAATTGCCCAAAAGAATTAAAGAAGCAATTAAGGTTCTCTTCACTTCTTCAAACGTTGGACCAGCTGGTTTAACACTTCTTTTAATTACCCATTCAACAACCCTCCATTCCGTTTCCGTAGTCCCATCAGGTTGTTTCTAATCCACCATACAGAAACGTGTCAAGATATGACACTTAATTACTTTGCATTTGTGTAGAACTGTGCATCACTCAACCGCAATAGCTATATCTCCCTGGTTGGCTAGGGAGGGGTCTTCGCACATTCATATCACCCTACCCCACCACCTCCCCCCTCCGAAGAGATATAGCGACAGTGATTGAAAACAACAGATGCTAGCTAAGCTATTGCTATTGCTACATTTAATCAGTTCAAAGTTGATGGGTCTAGCTCTTGTGCGGCATGAGGTCATAATAATAAGAATGTAATTAAATTTTCATTATTATTAGTTCCTGTAGCGGAGAAACTTGAGAAAGAAAAAAACTTGTATCAAGTTCAATGATGCATGGTTTTTAAAACCGGTTCGGATTGGAAAAATTAGGAATTAGTTACTTAATTGATTTCGTTTTTCTTCAAATCTGTTTTTTTTTTAAATCGTTGATTTTGGTCAATAAACCGTTGAATCGGTTGGTTAATCGTTTGAACCGTTTGAATGATTTTGACTATTTTTCAAAATTTTTAATTTTTTAATTTTTTTTTTGTCAGAACATGCCAGTCGTTGGAGTCGAACGGTCAGACGTTCGAACAAATAACTGGATTGCCGACCGGTTCAATCACCAGTTCGGTTTTAAAAACCATGCAGTGATGGGCTCAGAGGAGGGCAACCAGATTGAATCATTTTTCTATTAATATTTATGCATTTATAAAGGAATCATACATTTTTATTGATCAACTAAATTGTCCATACAAACCAAATAACTCAATGATGAACTACTCCTCTCCTTTCTCCATTCTCCAATCTCAAAACAAAAATAATAATAATAATAATAATGATGAAATAGAACCTATTAACCAAAAGAACAACGTATGAACTCTTTTTATTGTGGTTATATATAATATGAATAATGACGAGCTTATTCTCTGCTATGAATGCAACGAATGAGCGCTAGCGAGAAGAAGTTGAGTTATTATTGGGGGTTATGATCATTCTATTTGCACTCCAGAGTCGTATACATCTCCGGCCTTCCAGTCCTGGGGTATGTCATTGGTAGGCACCAGCCAGGTCTCATCTCCTGTGTCACTGTCGGTCAATAGCATCCTTATAGACAGGGGTCCGCTTGGGGGCATCACACTGTCCCAAACTGCTCCATGGCTCCGATCCAGAAGCTTGCATACAAAATTTTGAGTCTGCATTCATTGGATATGTCAAAAATGAACCTGGCTCAGTTTTTGCATGCTTCAGAAAAAGCTTTATAACAAGCAAAATGATGCTCTATGAATGTTAGAGAATAACAACCTATTTAAGCATCTCATCTAACAGTTTAAGCTTTTAGATTGAATGGTTATTTAAGATAGTATCAGAGCCACTTTAATCAAATGGTCTGGTGTTTGATTCTCGTCGCCTCATTATAATTAATTAAGTTTCAGCACAAGGCATGGTTATGGGCCAATGCTTGCTGTTTACGCTTCAAATTCATGAGTTTTCGTGTGAAGGGCTTCACATATTTTAAAATAACAACCTATTCAAGGACCTCACCTGACAACTTAAGCTTTTAGGTTAAATGGTTTTTTAAGAAATTATTATGAGAAAGGAGTGAAGAAATACCTCACATAGTTGTACAGCAGTTACATCCTTCTTGCCTTGCTGAAACCATAAAACAAAAGCCAGATAGTTGGGGTAGTTGCTGCTCTCATCAATCTTGAATTGGATGTTCTTGTTTGGGTAACTGCATGAAACCCTGCAAATTGAAGGAACCTCCAAGTCTCAGTGTTATAATTTGTTTGAAGACTACTTAATTAATTTGAATAGATATAAAAGGACAATGGTGGTATCGGTCTCACCTTCGGTATTCGATGCCAACAACGCCAAGAGATAGTAGAGATGCAGCGGCATCTGTGGTCTGAGCCATCTTGCTGAAGGCACGTCTGCTCAGTATGAAGTCAGTGCGATCGCTTGAGCCATGGTCGGTGATGACTACGGTCACTCCATTGTCTGAGCAAAACTGAGCGTTGGTGCATCTCACCTGGAGAAGCAGAATTGTTCAATTTCTATATACTCTAGCTAATACCATTAAACAAGACCAGAAGATCTTAGTTGTTGGACTAATTTTCACCTGGTAGCAGGCACCACAACCCACACCATCCCTGTATAGATCAGATGCAGCAGAAACATCGCCACCGTTGATTGTTGCACCAAATGAACCAAATCCGCACGCCCCATCTGCAATTTAGTTATAAGAAACAAGTTAGAACTTTTACGTATTGCACATTTAGATTTCAGATTGTCAGATAATGCAAGTAATAGCTAGAGCTCTCTCTCTCTATCTCTCTCTAAGTTCAAACTCTCTTGCACCTTCTGTTCCCTTCTCGTCGGAGTTGGGGTAGTAAGCTGCTCGTGATTGAGTGAAGCAGTCGCTACATGTTGCAGCATATGCTGGAGTTTGCAGCAGAAGAAAAGAGACAAGGAGCAAAAGGAGAGACTGAACGAAGAGAGCCATTATAGGGTGAATTAATAGCAGAAGAAATTAATGGAAGCAATTAAGGAAGAAAGGTGGCGAAGAAGCAAAGAAGAAAGGTGGTAGTGCTAAGGAATGGTAGGAGTTGTAGTTTTTATAGTGAATTCAAGAGCACACGTGTTACTTTTTACAGTAAAACTTTGACATTCTGTTAATTTGAAAGATTCGGATGAAGGGAATGTTTTCATTCTTCAAACAAAGAAAATATCTTCTCGGCAACCATCTTGGACTTTGAATTAGTTGTTGAGAGTAGACTTTTTGATTTCTTATAGATTTTCTATGCTTTATTGCAACTTTTCTTATTAAGCTGAACACTTGAATGAATTAGGGAAGGATTAAATTTTCCAAGTTTTCTCCAAGGATAAGCTTGTTGATCTTTCTTCCCTTTTCTACTCCATGATAATAATTAACTATCAACTCTGAACCACGTAAATATCGTTTTATATAAACAAAATTTCTGGGTATGGCGTAAAAGGAAATTGTGGTGAAACCTTTAATTAGCACATCTGAATGCAGTTCAGTGTTGTCTAGACCATGATGCCGCTGATTTGACCCCATCTTTACCTAACTAGAATGAGAAAAACATATGAAAATTTACAGTGGTTTGGCACCTAAGATTTGAAACTTTGAATGAGAAATACAAAATGGTTTTGCTTGACATGAAAAGTTTGGTGATTGTGCACCAGGGAGCCCATTTTAGGAATCTCATTTCTCTAAGTATTCCCACTTGTTATAATAACTATATATCAGGCTTTTGAATCCAAAGTATGGAAAGGGGAAGGAAACACCCAGATCTTTATCAAGCCATTATGTAGTCCATTTGGTAACATTACAATATCATGGACCATAAATTTTTATTTTTGTTTTATATTTCATAGTTATTGGCATCATCATCATCATCATCATCATCATCATCAATTCCAATTATATGGGTAGGCTATCAGCTATATGTTTTGTCATTCCATTTTGTTTAGTGCCATATCATATCAGTAATATTAATAAATAATACTTGAGATGTGAATTCAAATCAACCCCCCACAACGTCTCACAGCATATCTCTGCCGTGTATTGAAAATATCTCCCGATGATAATAATAGAAATGATGATGTCATCATTGGAAAATATTCTCAATACAGAGTAAGGATGTACTGTGAGATGTTGTGGGGCAGATTCAGTCTCGTGAGATGTGGTAAGTTAATTAATTAATCTGCAGTGTCCAAGTCTGGTATATTTGATCGATTTTAAGATTTAACTAGGCAGAAATAGAAGAGAGTTGGCGGGCTGCTGGCGCCCATGCCATCACCATCATCTATGACATGGGCACCATTAGGGGTTTGGACCCCCCTTGCCAAGAATGTTTATCCAATACTGTCATTATTGTCACCAGCAAAAGATTGATTTTATTTGTTCTTGTAAAGATTCTAAGTACATATCTACAAGCACATCAATGCAAGCTAGGGATAAGGAAAGGAGCTAGCCTCTAGCTCTATATATATCGTCCTATTTATTTAGTGGATGAATAATTTACATAATGAATCAATGAAACCATGTGTGTTTGCAACAATTACCTTTGTTGGAAAAGGGGAAGTGGCACTTTGGATTTCCAAAAATATTATATTTCTAGGCTTCTAGCTACTTCTCTTTTCCTTTTTTTTGTTTCTTTATCTTCCCCCACATTGTTCATCTTATCTTACCCTTGCAAGTAAGATATATATCAGGTTATTCGATAGAAATAACAGAAGGTACTAGAAGAAGACATATGAAAAAGACGTGAATGAAAATAATAAGAAATGATTTAAGAGCTCATAATTTAATAATGAATATGACATTAAATAGAACGGAATGGCCAAACAAACTTCATATTCACAATGAATCCTCCGCATTTGGTGGGCCTTTGCCATGTCGACACGTGGTCGGGCTCGGAGCGAATCAACACGTCAAATAAGGCAGGGGTCAGTGCCCAACGCGAGACTAATGGCACAACCACATGCAACGAGCTCGGGTGGCCACCCGCTCAGGGACAGATCACATCCTAACCATCCGCAGCGTCTGCCATCCGGTGATCTCAATATAAATAGGGCATCACTCCCCCAAGGTAAGGGATCTTTTATTGGGAACAAGTTTTTAGGATCCAGACCCAGAACTTGCACTCTAGCTCCCCAGTTTTCAGGCGACCTCATCTGCCCTCCCTACTATGCCCTACTAACTTGATCGTCGGAGTCCTCGCCTCGGGTCTTCACCCGGGGCCTCTAACGTTCCTTCCTTCGTAGGTTTTCGGCACTCCACAAATCCCACTGGCCTCGGCCTCGGCCTTCTTCGGACAACACCGGTCCTTGGCCTCGCCCTTCTTCGGACAACACCGGTCCTCAGCCTCGGCCCTACTTGGACATCATTGATCCTTGTCCTCGGCTCTACCTTGGCCAACCACAGCTCAGATCCTCCTAGTCAGCTCGTCCAGGAAGCGAAGCAAACTTACCTTGTTGTCCTCGGCCAATCCGAGCACCAACAATTGGCGCCGTCTGTGGGAACTGAATACTAAGCCCTCCCCCAAACAACTCAGCTTCCAACGAAATGGCTAGGCATAGGAAAGTTACACAGAACTTGGTCACTAGGGACCAATTCCAGACAGTCCTTGACCGGCTCGACGACCTCTCGTAGAGGTTGGACGAGGTGCGGCAACCAGTAGGAGGCTGCCCGTAGGGTGGCTGCCACGCTGAAAACCGGGGGCATCACCGCAGACGCCCTTCGCGGGCTTCGCCGGCTAAGCACCCTATCGTGCCCTCCAAGGCCGAACCCTCAACGTCCGGCGGAAGCAGCTAGAGTGTGAGTCAGCCACCGAGGACCCTCCAACCGCCTCACACCTTAGACCTCCGAGACTACCTCAACGAACGATGGGCCAAAAGTAACTGAGACACAGCCGGCCTGTCCCGCTACCATGAAGACCAAGACAAAGCCAGGGTGCTCGTCGGCCAGCAGATCGCCGACATACGAGCACAGATCGGTGCAGTGAAGGACAAAATTTGACAAGTCAAGGAGAGCCGAGGTGACACCTCAGCCAGCCAGCACCCTTCCACCAGGATGGATGCTTTCACTACCGCCATCACCTCGGAACCTCTTCCGCCTCATTTCAAAGCTCCCATGTTAGAGACTTACGATGGCACCTCGGACCCAAACGAACACTTGGAGAGCTTCCAGGCACTCATGCTCTTGTATGGGTACTCTGACGCATTGAAGTGCTAAGCTTTCCAAGTGACCTTCAGGGGGCAACTCGATGATGCTTTTTCAGGCTCCTGCTCTTCCATCAACTCCTGGGACCAGTTCACCCATCTATTCCTCACCCACTTCATCAGCAGCTGGCGGCACCAGAAGAGCATCGTCTCACTCATGGCCGTCTGACAGCGACGTGGCGAGAGCCTACGGTCCTACATCGACCGTTTCAAGAAAGAAGAGATGGAGGTCCGCGACCTCGACCCCATGGTCTCCGTGCACGCAGCAATCCAAGGCCTCCTCCCTAGGTCGGCCCTTAAGAACTCTGTCGCCAAAATGTCGGACAAAACCAAAGCAGAATTTATGAAAAAGGCACAAAAGTATATCGCTGCCGAAGAAGCCCCGGTCGGCGAACGCCCAGGTGGAGAGGCTGACATCGACATCGATGCCGATATCGACCATGGCGATCACCAATGACGGGACAGCCGTGACGACGATGAGAAGTAGCTCAGTGCTGTTGACACCGATCTTATCACCCCGTCTCAATGGCCGTTGTCGTAGTCAGTCATCGTCATCACCTCAACCCCGGTTGCATCCGCCGGCCGAACCATGTGACCACAAGCACTCGACTTTGGTCGACTATGTAAAAACCATTTTTGTAATAAAGTAAGTCTCTTTTACCTCGCCTCAAATCCTCAGCACATGCATTCTAGTCTCGATCGAGCGCCCTTCTGCAACATACAACCTTTTCTAAGGTTACACGCTCGGACTGGACTACATTCCAAGGCACACGGCCCCTTGGGTGGCCGTCAACAGGAAGGCCCTCGATTTTGGCCTCGGCCTCGGTAAGACCCTCCAAGTGAGCGAGTTCTCTTCCAAGTTTGAGCGTTGGCATTGGCCCCCCACTTGAACAAACATGTTGAAGGAAACAACTCCAACACCCCGGCGGTCTCTCCTCGGTAGATGCGCCCCGACGGCTTCGCCTCGGTGGATGCACCCCAACGGTTTCACCTTGGCGGATGCGCCCCGACGGCTTCGCCTCGGCGGATGTACCCCGACAGTCTCACCTCGGTGGATGTGCCCCCGATAGCTTCTTCTCGGCAGATGCACCCTGACGGTCTCACATTGGAAGATGCGCCCCGACGGCTTTGCCTCGGCGGACGTACCCCGATGGTCTCACCTCGACGGATGCGCCCTAACGGTCTCACCTCAGCGGACGCACCCCGATGGTCTCACCTTGGTGGATGTGCCCCAACGGCTTCGCCTTGGCGGATGCACCCCGACGGTCTCACCTCGACGGATGTGCCCCAACAGCTTCGCCTCGGCGGACGCACCCCGACGGTCTCACCTTGGTAGATGCGCCCCGATGACTTCACCTTAGCCTAGGCCCTCGCCATAGAAGGTTGCTCAGCGCCTCCCAGCAAGAACACTCTCTTCGGCCGAAGCCAAGGTCCTAAGCTAAGACCTCCACCACGGCCTCGAGAGTGGAGGGCAAGTGATGTAGGCGTATTTGGCGGGCCTTTGGCACGTCGACATGTGGCCGGGTTGGAACGAATGGTGCGACCACACGCGACGAGCTCGGATGGCCGCCCGCTCAGGGACGGATCACATCCTGACTGTCCATAGCATCCGCCATCAGGTGACCTCAAGTATAAATAGGGTACCACTCCCTCAAGGTAAGGGAGGTTTTTTCTTCGGAATGACTTTTTAGGATCCAGACCCAAAACTTGCACTCTAGCTTCCTAGTTTCCAGGTGACCTCGTCCGCCCTCCCTACTACACCCTACTAACTTGACTGTCAGGGTCCCCGTCTCAGGTCTTCACCTAGGGCCTTGGCCTTGGCCTTCTCTAGACAACACTGGTCCTCGGCCTCGACCCTACTCAGACATCATTGATCCTCAGCCTCGGCTCTACCTCAGCCGATCCTCGGCTGACTTCATTCGACTTTGGCCGTAGCGCACTTCAGACGCAGCAAGTCCTCATCCCCAGCACAGCTCAGATCCTCCTAGTCAGCTCGTCCAGGAAGCGAAGCAAATTTACCTTGTTGTCCTTGGCCAATTCGAGCACCAACAGGTGGGATTTTAAAAAAGGGGCAATTTGGTAAAAAATAATAAGCTTTTTATACAGCTCACTGTTTTTGCAATTTTTTCAAAACGTATATGATTTTGTCAATAGTCGTAACTTTGTTAATTTTTATGCAAAAAGTCATTATTATTATTATTATTATTATTATTATTATTATTATTATTATTATTATTATTATTATTATTATTATTGTTGTTGTTGTTGTTGTTATTATTATTAATGTCAAAAAATACAAATAGAAATTATTAAATTTTGAACCATTCAAATTGATGATCCATTTGTTNGGCGGATGCGTCCCGATGGCTTCTCCTCGACGGACGCACCCTGACGGTTAAACCTCGGTGGATGCGCCCTGATGGCTTTACCTTGGCGGATGCACCCCGATGGTCTCACCTCGGCAGATGTGCCCCGACGACTTTGCCTCAGCAGACGCACCTTGACGGTCTCACCTCGGCGGATGCGCCCCGACGGCTTTGCCTCGGCAGACGCACCCCGGCGGTCTCACCTCGACGGATGCATCCCGACGGCTTCTCCTCGGCAGACGCACCCCCGCGGTCTCACCTCGGCGGATGCGCCCCATGGCTTCGCCTTGGTGGACGCACCCTAGTGGTCTCATCTCAGCGGATGCGTCCCGACAGCTTCGCCTTGGCGGACGCACCCCGACTGTTACACCTCGACAGATGCATCCCGATGGCTTCGCCTTGACAGATGTGTCCCAAAATCGAGACCAACACCTCCTCGCCAGAAGACTGCTCTCTCCAGCTTGGCCATAGCCTAGGCCTTCACCAAGAAGGCCGCTTAGTACCTCCTAGCAAGAACACTCTCTTCGGCCAAAGCCGAGGTCCTAAGCTAAGACCTCCACCACGACCTCGAGAGTGGGGGGCAAGTGATGTAGGCGCATTTGGCGGGCCTTTGGCACGTCGACACGTGGTCGGGCTCAGAGCGAATCAGCGAGCTCGGATGGCCACCCACTCAGGGACGGATCACATCCTAACCGTCTGCAGCGTCCGCCATCAGGCAACCTCAAGTATAAATAGGGCATCACTCCCCCAAGGTAAGGGATCTTTTCTTGGGAACAACTTTTTTGGATCTAGACCCAGAACTTGCACTCTAGCTCCCCAGTTTCTAGGAGACCTCGTCCGGACCCTTCGGACCTCGTCCACTCTCCCTACTACGCCCTACTAACTTGACCGTCGGAGTCCCTGCCTCGGGTCTTCACCTGGGGTCTCTGACGTTCCTTCCTTCGTAAGTTCTCGGCACTCCATGGATCCCACTGGCCCTCGACCTCGGCCTCGGCCCTACTTGAACATCATTGATCCACGTCCTTGGCTCTACCTCGGCCGACCACAGCTCAGATGCTCCTAGTCAGTTCATCCAAGAAGCGGAGCAAATTTACCTTGTTGTCCTCGGCCAATCCGGGCACCAACAAATCCCATAATGATTCAATAGGGATAACACTGCCTTGAGATGCCTCCGAGTTGTTATCACTGAAATGGTGATTCCTTCTTCATTCTTAGAATGATCTACTTGGGGTTCATTTGGTTCATAGTGGGAATCAGGATCGAAATCTCTCAGAATCAGATAGAACGATCTATTTCCTTGGTCTGTTTGGTTCAGACAGGAATTGAAATAAGCTGAATGGGATTTCATTCCCAACAGGAGGGGAGGGAATAATTGCAAGTGCATAGTGCTCGTAAAGTACCACCACCTTATTTACAATAATCATTCCCTCAAATGTGGAAATGTCATTTCACCAGAATTGGGAATGGGATCCCAATTCCACCCAACAACAAACAGTTCGAATCGGAATGGCCAATTCTGATTCCATTTCCAGACCTCTATTCCAGCAAATCAAACAGGCCCTTGATATTTTTTCGTGTCCAATCAAAACTTTAATTTTAGCTTTCAAGGCCAAAGGGAGAGCATTTCCCAGCTTTGTGAATTACAAACAAGATGGGTTATGGGATGCCCTAGATTAGGACTTGGGAGGCAAGCTGTCGGTCATCTCTTCAGACATCCAATTAATCAAATAATCATGGGCTAGCTTAGAATTATTAAATTTATATATAAACCAATCTAGTATATCTACTAACTACTAAATAATTAACCCTAAACAGGAGACACTAAAATGACATGTTACATTTCTAACTATAGAAAAGGTTTTAAAAAGTAAAAGCATGATCATGAGAAGAATAAAGCCGCTTTTGTGCAATAATTTATCATTTGGAATCATAATTCATATTAGTTTAGATACTCCTTCAAAAGGAAGCTACACTTAGTGATTCAATGCACTATATACCAACTTGGGTGAAATCATGATGGGAACACATAAAAGGGGAGAAAGAACAAGTTCTCCTTTTTATTATAAGTAATTTGTCCAATTGAATTGGCTGCTTTGATGATCAGTCCAGCCACTCTGTGGATAGGTGACCCCAGCTTCCTTACATGAAGGCAAAAGTTAGAGACGAACTATAGTTCTAATGATGCTCAGCCTCAAACTACTCCTTTTTCAAAGAACTGTGCGTGCACTACACGTACAAGGATAGATTAAAGTATTTGATGATTGAAATGTGCCTCTACAGTTTGTTTCGCCATCCATCGGTAATTTGATACATACATCATTTGAGGATATAACGCAGAGAATAACAGAATTTAATATTAGTTTTGCGAGTTCACATCTCCGCCCCATAAGGGGCTGCCTCACAACGTCTCACAGCATATTCTCGCCATGTATTTAGAATATCTTTCAATGATAATATCAGAACCGATGATATTATCATTAGAAGATATTTCCAATACATGGCGAGAATGTGCTGTGGGGCGTTGTAGGGGGGAGATATCAACTCTAATCTTGCAGGATTATAGAAACAAATGCTTGTACATTCGAGGTACGTCACATTTGATTTTTTTGCGCAAACTGATTTTACCAAACAAATGCACAGTGAGGCAAAAACTAAGTTGAAGAACTCATTCTATAACGCACGACACTAATCATCTTGGCCAAGATTTCGGAAGAACAGAACTCGCCTGAGCCACAGGGGCGACAGTCAAGGTAGCATATCCAATTGCTACTGTATGATTCTCAATCTTCTTGATTTGGTCAAGACCAACCTAACATGTGGCAAGAATGCAGGACAGGGCCCACCCACTTTGGTGGTGAAGATGTGTGCTTAGGGGCAGAGCTTGGGGGAACCATGGTCTCCCTGTGGCTCAGAACCTCGACTTATTATGATCGGGCCCGTCGGGTCAGACCCGATTGTCCCGAGAATTGATCAGTTCAGTTTTGGGTTTAAAATTACAGACCCTATCAAGTCCGGTTCGGTTCCAGTTCCTTAATATTTCTTGCCGGGTCAGTTCCACTTCAGCCAGACCTCCGTTGACAGCCCTAGTTGGCCCTCCCCCTTTGCTCCGATCTAGTAGGCACATCATAATAAGCAAGTTCAATGAGCACTTAATAAATATTCTCACTGTCAAAAATTGTTTTTAATCTTTTTCAATGGTTGACTGGAGGTATTTTATGGGACAGGTGTTAAAAAAAAATTCTTAGTGCTCATTAAACGTGCTTACAATACTATGCATATTTGATCCGAACTGCCTTGCTCTACCCCTGGCCTATATATACTCTCTTTCATGTATTATATATTTAGATGCTTGGTAAAGAAACACAATCTCCCTATTTTATAGTCAAGTTGGTAGGCCAAGAAGTACAATGTTTTGAACCAAGTACATCTAGGGGTGAGCAAATGGGTAGGTTCTACCTGGAACCGAATGGAACTAACCTCGAACCGGCCTTGAACCGACCCTACCCAGGTCAGTTTCAGGGTCTAGGGGTTTACCCTACCCGAAACAGCCTTGGAACCGAATTTGCTTTGAAATAAACCCCAAAATATTTTTAAGGATGTAAAGATTTGAGCCAAAGCACTCATGGTTACAAAAGTCATGGTCTCACTTGACCATCGAGCTACTTAAGTGATTTGATCATTTGTTTTCATTTTATTGTATGTGTATAATAAATCATGTAAAAGGTATACTTACAAAATTTAAATTATAATGACAAATTTTCAACTATATGTTAATATATTATGATAATCTACATATTAAATTACTTAATTTAATCAATAAAGACAATATAAGTTTTAAACCATATATTATCATTATTGAAAATCAGGTTTTTAAATGACATGTTTCATTTTTTTTTTCTTGAAGGGGGAAAGTAAAGAATGAATAGGTTCCACAGGTAGACTTGAAACCGACACCGAAACTGCCAAGGCCAGAACTGACCTTGGAACCAACCTTCACAGGATAGGCTCCAGTTCCAAAAACCTAGAACCGACCCCTACAGGTAGGTTCCGGGTTCTGCCATGGACCGAACTGAACCGACCCATGCTCACCCCCTAAGTACATCCATCAAAGCACAAAAAGTTGCACAGTAGTGTGACTAAAATTACTCAAAGAAACTGCTTGATAGTACAAAAGGTTTACATTAACAAGTTACATATAATTCACAATATAAAAAAGGATGTTAATTATAACTGTTGGTGCAAAAGTTCGACTCACTAGACTTTGAGCGTCAATTCTGCCTTTGGCCAGAGTAATCTCCTATCGCCTAAGGAAACTCAGCTTGGCATTCTGCCTTTAGCCATAGTAATCTCCTAGCGCCTTTGAGTGTCATGAAAGCAATTGCATTCTTTTCATCTCTTAGAAGCCTAACTGCCTTCACAAAGACTGAATCCTCCAAACCTTCCAATTCCTGTAGTTCTTCCAAGCATCTATCATATGAATACTGCCTTGAGTTGACAACTTGTTTTGCATTGATTCTAGAATTTGATGCCATTTCTGAAATAACACGTGCAATCATCAATTCAGCATTCCGTGATCTTTTACGACATGATATTGTCTCCTCAGTAGCTTGATGCTTCTTGGACTGTATACCTCTTTCAGAGGACATTGTATCTGAACTTGTTTTCGACTGCTCATTTACTGTGTCAGTTTGTGGTATATGTTGCAGGGTAGAGTCATTGGGAAATATTGACAATCCTTTGATGCTATTGCCTTCTTTTGTCACCTCTGTAGGACTGTTCATAAGAGAACGCCCTTTGGAACCTGTGGCATTAACACACAAAATCATAGGTATAATATTCGAATTTTTTAAAGCTATTATGAAAAAATAATGTAGTTACCTTCAAAAATTAATGCCAATTTCTTGTACAGTGGAAAGCTCTTAAACCTATAAGACTCCATATCAGGATGCTCCTGCACATTATTACCAGCATAATTTTGCTATGCTACAATCTGCTATCCATGGCTCAAAGATATTCATAGCCATTTTGAAAATCTTAAAAGAGCAACATACCGAGATATAACGGTTCCAGTCTTCATCTGAAGCAGTAATTGTCTGTTGTGCATCATCCCAACCAAATCCATTTTGATTAATAAGTGACTTAATAATGAAGTACATCCTCCTTAAGTTGGTGTATCGGTTTCTTAACTGTGCTTTCTCAAAATCTAGACCAAATTTCCTATTGAAACGGATTACCATGGAAAGCCAAGCTTGTTTGGTAAATCCATTTTCACTTTTTTTCCACCCAAATGGAAGTCGATCGATCATTAGTTCAACGAGATAATCATCCCGTGGTGGTGTCCATTTGGCCTTAGATCTGTCTTGAGAGGCAATTTGTATTTGAGATGCATCTTCTGATTCCTGCTGCTTAAAATTGAAAAGAAAATTCAAGTAACAGGATGATTACATGGATTTCCCGTGCTAAAAACAAATATGACTAGACAAAACATATCAATGTTTCATGTAGACTACAACATAGAATGTTTGGACCATTTCCTTATTTTTAGCATCCAATGCACTTCTGTCTGACCATTTGAACTTGTAGAGCAGATTGGATAGTAATGGCCATTGAGAGGATTGTGTTTGGCATCAAAGATCTTTGATGTGATTATGGAATTTCCAAGAACCCTGATTCGATATCCTTGTCCACATGCACAGACATGAGGACAATAGAGATTAGTGGCCACTATAACTTAAACCTCAAACTTTTCTGAAGTATCATGGAATTGGTTTTGGTAAAGGTAAAAATTGGGTTTGGCCAAAACACAATACAGGGTTGTGCTGGATTAGGGATAAAATCATAGTCCATTTTGTAATATGGTTATTCTCAGACTTGACCCTCAAATAATCCTTGTTGAACCTGAACCTGACTCTATATTATACATCTATGCCTTTAAACCAGTATTTTCAATGATAGTTGACAGGTGTACCCTAAGCATAATTCCAAACAGTAACGTTCTCATGAGGTATGGTCAAGATTTAAGCCTCAAATGAGATGCATGCCTGTTCAATTAATTGACCTAATTCATTTTTTATGAAACCAAATACTCTAGAAGATAACTATTTTCTCAAAACTATGATTACTATAACAATTCAAGTTATTTCTAAAGTATAAAAATATAACTTTTAAAAAAATCCAAATATAGATGGTGACTCAAAGGTCCAGAATCAGCATATCATAGTTTCATTTTTCTAGCTAGCTGCTTTGGGGTTGTCTCTATGCCTCACAGTCATTCTTGTGATTCTGTAAAAAATTTTCATCAAAATTTGGAATGCTTACACATGTAGAAAGTTTTTTTCTGTTATATCAGAATTTCCAAAATATTAGAGTTAGGACTTCTTTTCTAGTTTCATGCTTGGAAAAGTGGGGAAATCTCAAAAAATTTCAGGGAAATTGTGAATCATGGTCATGATGCGTTCATCTTTTCCTCAAGCAAATAGACCATATATTTAACTTACCAATTACATTATCTCAGTGGTTAGTGGATCACTATGAAGTCTTTCCAGAGTTATGCTTTCACCCTATGCCACTGGAGCCTTGGTAGTAGTATATCTTCTTTCTATCAATAATTATTATTGTTCCCCACTGACACGGCCTTCTGACGCATATTTTCAAATAACTCTGTTCATTACTTCATTTACATCTCCTTTCAACTTCTGTTGAAGAACTAAACCAGAACCTTGTACCAGAAAAAACCTGAACCCCCCTCTCCCCAACCCTACCAATTGCCAACTAGATTCCTAAAACTGTTCTCCTTTCAACTTCTGTTGAAGAACTAAACCAGAACCTTGTAGCAGAAAAAAACTGAACCCCCTTCTCCCCAACACTACCAATTGCCAACTAGATTCTAAAGCTGCTAACAAATAGCAGTATATTCTTGAAAGGGAGAGGAGAAAGAAATAAATATAGTGCCCAGCATGGGAATATGATCCAATATCTGATAGATGAGCTACTATAGGAAGTAGGATTTCCAATCCTAACAGACTAAGGACCATGCAGGAGGAATGACATTAGGGTCGATTTATTGTTGAACCATGAAAGTGAACATTGTTATGGCATATTAGGGAGTCCTCTATTATTTGACTAGGTAAAGCAGTAAAGGAAACGACTCTACCACTTGTGTTACAAGAAAAGCTGAGCCTGTAAATGTTTTACTCAGATACTGAGAAATATCATATCTATTCTTTATCCCCTGTGCTACTGATCAAAATACCGCCACTATTCATACTTCAAAACCTGGGAGTCCAGAATGACATGATATCCTTAATCAAGGGGAACAAAACTAAGATATCTTTAAAATGGCATCTGAACTTCTAGATTCCATGTGATTATTATTTACTTGCAGTACCATTTGCAACTGCAAGCAACTTCTCCTAGCCATATAATCTCCTGCACCAAAAGGAAGAAATGGTACAATGACCATCTTATATCTAATTCTATTTAGAAGACCATTACAACCCTATCTTCTTATCCTGCACCAGAGAAATTACAGTTAACCTTTGGCCCACAAATTCCCAATCCTCTTATGTTTCAAGAGTAGATTCTCAACTTCACTTTAACTGATGCTTCCAAGTTCCAACCCAGCAGCCCCTCCTTCCTCTCAATACCATCTCTACTCTATATCCACTCAAGCTGTTATAGTCTACACTATGTGTATGACAATGAAATTCTGTTGAGGCCTTTCTCTAGAGATGTTTGACAGCAATTTTTTTATCCTTCTATCAACATAAAAATGGATTTTTACAATGTCATTAGCATCCAAACTCCAAAAACAAAATCGCAAAACTCGCACATTCTGAGGTAATGTTTTACAATACCTCATTGTTTGACAATATAAACCCGTGTCATAGACTTGGAGATCAAATAACAAGCAGATTTCTAGCTCTTTACCCCACCTCTGTAAATTACCTTTAGTTTCTTTCTGGTTAAGAATCCTCTCTCTTTAAGTCTTTATCATGAAAGAATGGTGTTCTTATCATGACCATTTGAAAATCCCAGTATCACCCTCATGAGAATAATTATCAATGTAAGCGTTTCAAAAAGAGTTAAACAACTTCAATATACTGTTGAACTAGATTATTGTCACAAAACTTGGTTTCACTCGCCTTTGTTAGTCCACCAAAATGCAGAATCCTACTTATAAGCATCGAAGATTATGAGTAACTAATTCGTCTAAATATCATTCTATGAAATACAAAATTGGCACTTTGAGAATCTTTTGATTAAAAGGAGATTTTCGGCAGTTGCCTAAAAATATACTGCTATCCTAGTATGGGCTCGGGATAAACAGGTGACTGAGAGGTTCTGTGAACAAGATGCAAATTAAGACAGCAGCACTCTGGAATTTTATGTGCTTGAACTCCACAAACTTAAGCTTCACAAAACAACTCAAAACAGTTATTGTACACCCCCGACACTCCTTACGCTCAGACCCTCGGAAATAGAAAGGAAAACAGGGAAAAGAGAATGGGCGAACTGGGCAGCACTTGATTCTTAACGTGTTCATACTTTTGGTAAGCGACACCCTCCTGTGTGCTAAAAAGAACTAGGCATCAAAGTTGACTAAGACATTAGAGTCCAAACATTAATTTTCTAGGAAATGCGAATTATAGAACATTTTTTTTCTTACTCATTCTCTTTGATTATGCAAATACTTCGGCATAGAACTTCTTTAGAAAATCTATCAAACAGGTAGTATGCATCAAATAAAATCGTTTCCAGGGAATGCAAAAAGACGTAAAGAGCTCACCTCAGCCATGGCCAACTCAAGCTTAAGACCGCTTGCTTTTACTGTTTTACGTTACATCTGATCAAAACAAGAAGAGAACGAAATCAATTTCGAACACAGAGAAAACCCACAACGACCCGTTTGGATACGCAACTCCAAACCGCAGTTTTCCAGGTTTGCACCAACTGCAGTCTATAAAAGTTGGGGTTAGGTTGATGGTTGTTGGAGACATCGCGATCTTTCTCATAAATGATGATAACTTTAACTTAAAAAAACCAAAAAAACAATTAAAAATAACAGCTTTTTCCTCGACAACGAATCTACCTAATTTTAGTGCCATAGGGTTGTTTTATTACTTTCTTGCTTTTCAACCGCATCCTTCTGCATGAAGAAGGAATCAAAGGAAAGTGAGTTTTCATCCGTGGGTGGAGTGGAGATATCATTGTCGTCCAAAAATGTGATAATTTCAAGAAACAAAGATATGGTCATCTTACAATTTTAAAATGATAGAGCCAGCTAGCTTTTGTTGGTAGTGTTGGAGTTTGTTTGCAGAATCGGTATCTCCTGCACTTTTCTGCTCTGCATTTTTGTGCACTTTCAGGCATGTAAGACTATACTTGCAAATTGTAATAGAAAACCACCGCAGATCTGTTGCTCGCTGTCGATCCATGACATTGGCATGTCCACCGGTAAATGGTAGTTGGTTACATAGCTGTTTACACAGTAGGCGATCGGGTTCATGGGAAATGTGATTGCCTGGTTTAGTGGTTTGTAAGGGTGTCGGTTTTGGATTGGACCCCGTCCTGTATAAAATCGATGTAGACCGATTGGACGGATCAACAAGACATATTGGATTGGATCGGTCCAAAATATTTATTAGATTAGATTGGACCTGGTCCGTTCGTAACAAATTTTTGTTGGATTGGATTGGATTAAGCCGATTTTTAGTCCATTAATATAAGATGAGAATATATGAGTCAATGGACCGGGTTTGGGTTGAAACCAATCTAAATCAAAATGAATTTAAACAAATTGGACCAGTTCAAATTGATCCAAAACATTCATTGGATTGGGTTGGACCTGGTCCATTTATAATTGACTCACATTGGACTGGTTTATATATTAGAGTGGGATGTGCGGCTTCCCTTCTTAAATTGCGCCATCCATGCCATCTTGTATTGTGAGATGCGCAACTGCAATTCACTGTAGGTAGGTTGTGGGTAGAGAAAGTGAGTAGGAAATCTAGGTTCTCACAGACCCATGAATGATGAATATGAATGCGAGAGATGTTTCAAATGTGACGGGATCTATTCCTCACAAATGGGCGCCTTACGGGCACATCCACCATGCATTGGGAACATCTCCCGTGAATAATAACCAATAAGTATGGGAGATGTTTTCAATGCATGATAAGATGTGCGTGTAAGGCTCCTGTGAGGAGGCGCCAGGTGTGAGGAGCAGATCCGGTCTTGTTTCAAATGCACAGTTGAAAGTGTTGTCAGGTTGGTGTGAGATTGAGGAATAAATTGGGATTCTAAAAATTGAATCCAGCATTCCACCCAACAAAAATCATTCCAACATGTTCCATATTATCGGTGTCCTCATATCCCATACATATTCCATTTAGGGGCGCAAGTCAAGCGTATTGAGCCAGGGTCGGACAGGTTTATTGTCAACTTAGGCCCATCCCTAAGATATTGGCCTAAGGCCCGAGTCTGAATCAAGCCTGATCTTTTCAACCTATGCCCAACCTATACTGTAATTTGATGCATTCGAGTTGGGCTCAGCCGCTTAGGCCTGGGTTAGGCTTGGTCAATGAACTCACTCTAAGATTATACATGTGTTTATGCATTTATGCAATCATGTATGCATGTATGTATGTATGTATTTATATCTATCCATAGTAAGACGGTCCACATCACCATGCCTCTCTCCTTTCTCCAAATTCTCCTTCCTAATTTTCTGGTTTTTTGAAATTTTTTATTTTTTTATTTTCACATAATTACCCATTAAACAAATAAGAAAATAACATGGGCTTAACCATTTCTAACAACCATAAAAAAAGAGGGATTTGCTCTTCTAATGTTCGACTTCGGATCTCCTGCCCACGTCTACCCACAACACACTACCCCCATGAATTGGGAACATCTCCCCTTGCGTAATACTATGTAGGAAAATGAAATGTTCTCCTTGTATGGTTGTGATGTCATGTGGGTAGACGTGGGCAGAGTTTTTGTGAGCAAGAGATCCGAACTCTGTTTGTTTAGCCAAGTGGCACCACATTCTCCTAAATTGTCTCTAATTTCTATTTATCTCCTAAATTATCTCTACCTCCTATTTATCTCTTAAACTATCTCTAATTTGGTACAAAGATTCTCTCCTAAACTATCTCTAATTCCTAATTTCCTATTCATCCTTTCCCCCACTTTTTACCTACATCAATCTAAACAAAGTTTCAATTAAAAACTTTTAGAATTATTTCAATATTATAAAAAAATTATATACTAACTTTAAAATATTTACTCAAAACAAAAAAAACAATTATAAATAGAATTAATAATATTTATATTATTAATAGTTCTATATTTTTACAAAATTCATCATGAAATTATGTAGTAACAATATAAATTATAATTTTATGAATTATTCAATTTAAATGTTATTCAAATAATAAAAATTTAACACTTGAAAACAAAACATTATTTAAATATTTCAATAACTAAATATCTTAAATAAAAAACATTAAAAGTAGCTAAATAATTATATGACAAAATATTTAATATTATGTAATAAAATTAAAATAAATAAAATTCAAATAATAAAAAATGTAAATATTTTACATATTATTAAATATTTAAATAATGAAGCATTTAACATGACTAAATTTTAAATAGTTAAAATAACAAAATTACGTAATAAATTTAAAAAAAAACTTAAAAGTAGAAAAATAATTATAAAAGATTTTATAATATTCATATTAATAATAATTTAACATTTTACAAAATCAATACCAAATTATGTAATAATACAATATAATTTTATGGATTACTAAATTCAATAAATAATTAATATTTTAAAAATATAAATAACAATATTATTTAAATAACTAAATAATATTGTAAGTAACTAACTTCACTTATATCAATTACTAATTATATAAAATAACTTTGAAAAATATTAATATTTATTAGTAATAACTTCACAATAATAGTGTATATTCATTACATATATATATATATATATATATACTAAAATTAATATTTATTGTATTTTTTGATAAATATGTTTTCAATAATTCTTTTTTATAAATCTATTTTTGTTTTGTTGTTTAACAAAAAATTATCAATAACTATTGGAGATTAAACAACTATTATTTAACTTTTGAAATTTAACTTATCATATTTATTGTATTTTTGTTTCAAAATTATTTTTTGGTAATTATGTATTTATTATAATTTATTGATTAATATTTATTAGAGATTAAATTATTATTTGAGATTAAACTATTTATTGATTAATTTAATATACTTTTCGTATTTATTGAATTTTTGTAATTATTGTATTTTTATTAGATATCTATTGTATTTTCATTATAAATTTATTTTCAATAGTTGTGTATTTTTGCTATAAATTTTCAATATTTATGGGATATTAAACTATTATCATTTATTAGAGATAAGATTATTAATTTAGCTGAAATTAGGAGTGTTCAAGGATTGTTTCAATTTAGCTGTTTCGCCAACCAAATTTACCTAGTTAGGTCGGGAGCTTGTTACCCGAAACGATCGACCATTAGTGGAAACCTGCCAATTTGGGTTGTATCAATTTGGGTCTATTTTTGGTTTGGTTTGTTTGTTTGAAAGATTAAAACTTAAAAATTAAATTTAAATTTAATAAGTTACAGTGGTATTATTAAAAAAATTAAATTTATGGTATAAAATATTTTAGACTAAAAAATATGGGAATTTTCCACTTTTTCATATTAAAAATTATATTTTATATTTTCAATAATTACTGATATTATTGAATATTATTTAGTAAATATCAACACCTAAACTATAATTTTTCGTAATTTTGGTAAATTGTAAATTTTAATTACTAAGAATTACTTTCTGAAAATTACTAATTTTGGTATTTTAGTTTCAGAATTTTTTGAAAATTAATTATTGAAATCAATAATTACTAAAAATTAATAATTAATTAAAATATTAATAAATACAAATTTAATAATTAAAAATTATCAGTAATTTTTAGCAATAAGTAGTTATTGATATTTTTAGTAACTTTGGTCAATTTATTAATATCTAATGATATTATCAAACAATAATTAAAAATAGTAATTTTTTAGCAGAAATTTAATTTCAATAAATATACATTTATTTTTTATATTTTCAATAATTTTGATATTTACTATAATTTTTTAGCAATAATTAGTGATTTTGTTAATTTAATGAAACTTAAATTATAAAACTTCCAATTTTTCAAATAAATAATTGGAAAATTTTAATAATTTCCAAAAGTATTGGATACTACATTTATAATTTCCATAATTAGATGAACTATATTTATGGGTTTGGGGTTGTTATAAGTTTAGGGGATGACCCCAGGGTAGGAATGGCAATGGACGTGTTTGTGGTGGGGATCATACTCCCCATCCCGACCTCAAGTTTTAAATTAATCCTATAAAAAATTTTAGCTTGCATCCTAGGTCCTCGATAGAGAGGGCTTCCCCATCGGGGACTTGAATCCCTAAATTTTTTTAATTAAAAGTTTGCTTTTTGAAATATATTTATTTAAATAAAGGAAAAAAGTTAAAACGCAAATACTATTTTAAATATATTTTGATATATATAATATAAAACTATTATAAATAACATAAATAATATTATATATTTAATATATATAATTGGGGTTGGGGCAGGGTGTGGACTTCACTCCCCATCCCTAATCAGGTATTCCTATTAATTCCATCCCCACCTTATCCCCGTTAAGGCAATCTCCATCCCATCCCTACCTGATTAGCTGACCTATTCATGGGTCGGGCCGAGCCGGGCTCGGGCCGGGCTTTTACTCTTCATTAATGGAGATTTGTTAGGCCCGAGCCCGAGCCCAGCCCGACCAACGGGCCTACAACTTGGACCCGAGCCCAGCCCTGATAAAAAGCCCGAAGCCCGAGGATTCACCACCGGTGATTGTGTTCGTCGGAGCATAGTTCACGGTGACTGTGAGCTGCAACCTGCAATTTTAACAGTGACCAGTTCGCGTCTGAGCAAGAGAGAGAGAGAGAGAGAGAGAGAGAGAGAGAGAAGGAGAGGACTCACTGCCAGAGTTGTTGCGTCGGTGAACGTTCGTCGCTTCGCTGGTTGTGTGCCTGCTTGAGAGTGTGAGGACTGAGAACTGTGGAGGATGTGGAGAAGAAAGGTTCAGCTGGAAGAAGAAATGAAAGAGCCAAAGAGGTGAAAGAAAGAGGGGTATTCGACTAGGGTTTTTAGCTTTAATTATAGGTCGGGCCTGGCTATTTTGACAAATCCCAAGCCTGGCTCGAATTTATTGCAGGCTGGGCTTTTTGGCCTGAGGTTAAGCCCGTGGGCCCATTTGTGTGTTCAAGCCCGTCCGGGGGCCGGGCCAGGCCGTCGAGCCACCCGGCCCATGAACAAGTCTACTAATCAAGGAGGCTAGGTACTTGGTGGGGATGGAGAAAATTGCCATCCCTACCCCGTGTTATATAGCTCCATAGAACAATAAGT